TGGTCAGCTGGTGGCTGAGCGTGCCGGGCTCGCTGGGGCGCCTGGTTGTCAGCAGGGACCTGTTGTCTGGCTGTGGGCGGGAGAGCTGGGGCCAGGCGGTTTGCTTTGCAGCTGCCTTTCTTCAGGCAGCCAAGATTAGTCAGAGACTGTACTGCGAAAAATGCACTCATTTAATCCACAGCTGCTTCCGCAGGGGAGGCTTTCGGGCTTCCTCTCCTCCTGCAGGGACAGTGGGGAGCTGGCCTGGGTCAGTGAGGAGCTGGTGCGATGCAGTGGGCTGTGCAGTGGCAGCAGTGCATGGGCACGGGGCAGTGGCACTGATGCCGGTCTGCACATCAGTGCTAAGGGCTTTCCTGCCTCGTGGTGCCTGTGTGCGTGTGGGGTCCTCACGTTAGGGAAGTACAGGCATCTCCTGCTCAGACTGTCTGATGGGTTGATTTGATTGGGGAGGGGATGATGAGGACGCAAAGCAGCACCTCTCATGCTGCCCCCTCCCCTTCCCAGGGTACGAGCCGACCATCCCACTACTATGTCCTCTGGGATGACAACCGGTTCACCGCGGATGAGCTGCAGATCCTCACGTACCAGCTGTGCCATACCTACGTGCGCTGCACCCGCTCCGTGTCCATCCCGGCCCCCGCGTACTACGCGCGGCTGGTGGCGTTCAGAGCACGGTACCATCTCGTGGACAAGGAGCACGATAGGTGAGGGGGCTCTCAGCCCACAGGGGTGTTCAAAAGTGCCTGCATCCCAGCGGTGCTGCAGCAGACCCTTGCTCGGGGGGGAGACCCGCACGTAAGTGCATCCTCTGAGGTCCCAGCGTAGGGGAAGCTGGGCATAAAGGAGGGTTAAATCCCATCCCAAGCTAAGCCTGGGCCTGGAGGAGCATCCCTGGGGTGTCTGAGCATTACCAGCCACCTCGAGGTGCTGGAATCTCTGCAGTGCCAAGCACAGTTGCTGGCACGCGCCGCATCCGTGTACGCTGTGGTGAGATGCCTTCCTGTGCTGCCAGACTCTGCTCTCCAAGGGGTTTTCTCAGCGTTCCTGGGGGAAAGGGAAATAAGAAATAATTACACATTGGTTTCCTTGATTTCCAGTGGTGAGGGCAGCCATATATCTGGACAGAGCAACGGCAGAGACCCCCAGGCCTTGGCGAAGGCTGTGCAGGTTCATCAGGACACTTTACGTACCATGTACTTTGCTTGAAAGCCTTTTGTTACCTCACTCAAGAAAGCTTTCAGATTTGTAGGAGCCATACAAAAAAGGAAGCATTGGGACACCTTGTTTATTTTCCAATGAGAAATCACTGCAGGGCAGGCAGCGTCGATTCGAGGCAGGAGACCAGCACCACGGGACAGAGAAGAGCCGACACCTTTGGAGGATCGGAAGAAACCGATGATTATTTTTTTTATTTTTTTCTGGCTTTGCAAAATTTTGACCTGACCAAACACACGAAGGCATTCGAGGAAGGGATAAAACTCCTCCCGGGAGGCGGAAGCAGGTTGTCATTTTTAAGATGCAATACTATAGACTCCTGACTGTGAACTGGCGGATTTGGTCCTCCGTTGCCCACCAGGCGCTGGTAGGTATTTTTTGTGTGGGTTGGGGGGAGGGGATTTTTAGAGCCTTAAAACAGAAGACTAGATTTATAAAACTAATATTTTAGAATATGAGATGCTTTAATGAGTTAAGGGGAAAAAAAAAAACAAAAACAAACAACTAGTTTATAGGAGAATTCTAACACTAACAGTTCCCCACCCCCTGAATAATTCCCCCCCATATAATGTAAGGCACCCTAGCACTTAGCTCGGAACTGAGAACTGTCTTCCTTGTGTTAAAAGCTAGTTAGCTGCTGCCGTTTGAAGCAACAGTCCAGACTTTTCCATGGGTGAGTGCCTTACTATGATGCTGCAAAATTTCCATGTTTTTAATCTTGTGAGGAAAACAGTAATCTTGTCTTGATGGTGGTCCATATTTCCATCAGAAGGAGTTAATTTCTATGGTCCTAAGTTGCAGTTTATGTTAGATCACAACCTCATGGTGGTTAAACTCCATTGAAAGATGTTGCACTTTCATATAGGACACGTTTAATGGCTGCTGACCCATTTTTTTGTTTTCCGATGTACTACTTGTTATTTAAAACTGTTTCTGACAAATGGGGGCATCTTCATCCCATGAGGACAGAAATCACTATGGATTCTTTTTTTTTCCCCCTTTCATTTTGGGTTTTTTTTTCCACGAATTTTTATGATGGACACCGGGATTTTTTTACTAAACATTATTTTTATACAATGCCGAGTCTGTTGCCAAAATACACGAGTCATTAACATTGTCAGAGTTTACATCACCACACTTCCCGAGGCTGTGCGCTCACACCAGAGGTTTCCAACGTTCCCTGTCCCATGAGTGTTACCAACCACAGTCCGTGCAGCGCCGGGTGCTCCTCAGCACCCACCTCCCATGTGCATTCAGCACGTGTCTGCCCGGGTCGGCTGCTTCCCGAAGTACCGTGTACCCCAAATCCAGCCCCTCCAGACTGTCCCCCGCTCTGCTGCTAGGTTTTGCTGCTCTTCATGTCATGGTATCACTGATCTCATGCACAGGGGTTTTGTTTTATTCTGAAAGCACACCAGAGTTGTTCCTTTAGTCAGAATGATGAAATCCTTGTTATTGTCATGGGGGAAACTCCTACTGATTTGTGTTTGTAACAGAAAAAAAAAGCCTTTTTCCCAACAGTAACATAGTGACTGCTTTTCAGACTCGTTTTGCCGCACAGAGTGACCGTTGTGCACGGTGGGGCAGTAGTAGCAACTCATTCCCAATACCATGTGGGCAGATTATCTGGGTTATTTACATGAAAGTGTGCACAGCGCCTCCTGCAAGAGAACAAATGATGCGCGTGCTCCTACCGCGCTCTTCACGGGGAGAGCTTTGAGTGTTCTCATTTTCCTGCCAGCCATGAACACATTTCCAAGGCAGATCCACCACAAGCACTGCCCCATGTCAGTACACGTGGATAGAAGCACACCTTTTTGGTTTGTACTTCATGACGTTTAAACTTGCCTTCATGAAATAAACCACGTTGGTCATGTTGGCCCCTTGACCTGTCCTAGCGGTGGGAGTTCACTCGACCCGTTTTGTTTTTTGGGCAACGTGTCTGTGGAAAGTGAAGACATCAATATGCTATGCAAACTAAGTGCTGAGCCCACTGATGCCACGTTTTGTGAAGATCCTACGTTTAGCACAGTCCAGTTTTTTTTCCTCAAGACGACAGTATTTCGTTTGTATTCTCCTTTGCACCTTGTGTCAACCTCCACTGCTGTATATCTGCAAGGTGACGGGGAGGAGACCAGGAACTATTCATGGTCAGTCGGGTAGCAAACTCTTTAGGAAGGCTTTTAGAGAGTAGGGAATGCATCTACACTAAGCATCAACATGAGAAGCCTACATTCCTATACACAAGTGCCTGCATAGTGACACAAATTCAGCACCTCTCCATCTCATCCTCAGAACTCTGGCTTATGTTCCTTGCAAGCGAAATGATCTCAGAGGGGCTGTACTCACTCACCTTGTGTTAGAAAGCTCCTCGTTAAGGATAAGATCGGGGTTGAGGTCAAGGTTCTCTGCAAATCAGTTTGTTCACCAGCATTATGATGGAAAGCACCTGGCTGCTGTTCTGCAGCGAGGGGCAAAGGTGTTTTGGTTTCTAGTTTTTTATTTTAGTGTTTTAGTTGGGTCTAGGATTCTGAAATGTCTTTTAGTAGCTGTGGCATAGCACGTGCCATTTTTAACCATTTGAAAAGAGATAGTGCGGGCATTTACAGAAACAGCTTGTTGCTCTGTAACAATTTTTGTAACCTTGAGACTTGAAATGTAAAACGGACCTTTAAGATTTGCACTCATTTGTAAGGTGGCTGTTCATAGAAAACTATGAATGAAGACTTGCTGATGTAGCACCTACTTTTAACAGCATTTTAACTACATGAAAGCTTCACAGCTTCTGAAACTCTCAGCTGTTGACTTGCAGATTGTGTTCTGCCCTTATTTCACCCTCTGCGTTGGGTTTTCTTGGGTTTGAATGAATAAAAAAAGCCAAACTCAGTAGCTGCTGTGCCCTTTAAACCCTGTTTCCATTCTGAAGACATTTAGAAGGGGTTTGAGTTACCCGCATGTTTTGTATAATGGACTATGCACTGTACCTTCAACGCGGCTCCAGCATTCAGCATTTCTACCCTTTTCTTGTCCGAGATGCAAACGAGTAACTGCATGTTGAGGTGCTGTGCATTTTGCTGCCCGTAGCGGATAGGTGTTAACCCAGATACATATCAGGATTTGTAGTTAGCCACAAACCCCACATGGACATCCCAAATGGCTCCCGAGTCTCTGCCTTCTCCATGCGCACGTGTTCCTTCTGCAACTGGAAGCATCTCCGGGTGCCTGCCGTTTTGTGGGAAGAGGAGTAACTTTGATTTACCCATCAGCTGTTGAATGCTGTTTGATTCCCTTATCTCTTGTGTGAATATAATGGGGGTGAGAGGGCAGAGCAGCCCTCTCCCCAAAGCTTTCAGGGGCGGTCGGGGTGTTCTGGTATTCACAAGCGTAAGACCTGATGTCTTCAGTGTCCAAAAGCCCAAGCATTCAACGTTGCCTCACAGAAGGTTTTCTTCTTGGAAAAATTAGTGTGACATAAAAGAATGTGATTCTTTCAGGAAGGGAAAGCCAGACAGCAGGACAGCAATAAACAAGTGAATCCATATCTTGCCTGAGTGATTTGCACTTCAATAGTTGTGAAAGAAAATTTGCAGGACTCCAGTGCTTTTGTGTTCAATTTCTAGCCCCTTTCGTACCTCCTTTATACGAGCAAGTGTCGAACTGTACATAGGGTGTTTACGAGACGCTCTGTTTGGGTTGTTACTTTTCTTGTGGGTTATTTTTTTTTTGGCTTTAGCTTGAACTCTGTATGGTCCGTTTGTTAAATAGACGTGAACAGTTGATGTACAGTACTTACTAAACAAGCAGCAGCACAAAACTTATTTTATTAAGAAAATATGGCTTATATTTTAAAGGTCGAATATCAGTTTTTCTTTTTGTATGCGTGGAATTGAGACTGGTGAAGAGTAACAAAATCCTTGGATTAGGCCAAAAGAAAATACTGTAAGATCATAACCACCTCTTTATTAAAGACAACAGTATGATTAAAGAGCTCCAGAACATTGTATTTATATTGATTTGATTTGATTTGATTGCCTTTGTGGATTTCTTTTCTTTTTTTTTTGCCTTGGTCCTGATTTTTGCTTGCAACTTTGACTCTGCAGTCCCAAGTGTCTGTTACCCTGTAACTGTTGGCAGAAGACCTAAATAAAAGCAATGTGAACACGTTGGGGTGACACTCCTGAGTCAGATTGCGTGGGGAAGGTTCATGCGCAGCCCTGGCCCTCGGGAAAGGCTTGGGGTGCCAGTGTGACTGTGGCTGGATTGCATCGGGTACTGCAGAGGATCCAAACCCCATCACTTCCCAGATTTCATTTGATGAGGGAAACACTTAAGTGAACAAATACGTGCTTAAAACTTTTTGGAATATGAGAGCCAATTCTACTTTTTATTCGAATGTCATCTGCCTGAGAACTGACTTGAGTTGAGCTCCTTGGGTCGTGAGACAGCAGGACAGTGCATCAAAATACGCTGCTTTTCCAGCCACGGTGTGTGCTCTGGGACTATAAAAGGCCGTTGGCTCCACACTACTGTAAGTGGACAGATTTTGGACCCCTTTCGGACTGGGGTTAATCTTGATCCTCTGGTTGCTGTTGGTTTACCTTTCTCAGCTTTAATTCTGTGCAAACAGAGCTCTAACTGGGGTTTGAATAACGCTAAAGCAGTTTTGTTTTAAACTGAGTCCTACCATATAACAGAAATCATCTTGTGCAGTTTCTGTGAGAGGTGCCTTGTGCAGCCGGGTCTGAAGGCCAGGACAACAAGTCAGGCTCCTTGGTTTCGGATGTTAGGTTGGCATTTGAGCCCTGGTTCTGGTTACAGCAGAACCAGAAGTGCTCACCTGCCTCTAAAGTGTGTGCATTCTGCAGAGATGCCTCCCTCTGCTGTATCTGCTTGATCTCGGTGATCACGTTTCCCCTTCCCTCTCAGGATTCCAGTCAAGGAAATGAATGTTAGACATTTACTTTCAATTTGCATGGGTTTAGAATCCTTACTGTGCACCTTACCCAGTAACTACATTGGCACTTTTTAACTGGCAGTCTCCAGGATGATCATTCTTAATAATGATCCTGAAATCTAGAGTATGAATCTCAAACTCCTCTTCTGCTGGCCCAGAGGCCCAGTTCTTCAGTAGCTCCCCAGTCTTTTCTATGGGGAAATGCCCCTTCACCACCAGGAAAGGAGGGGGTGTAATTTCTTCATAACAAGTGGCAGGTTCAAACCTGCTTGGGACAAGTCTCAATGTACTGTTGTTACCCCAAAAAATGATGTTTTGGGGTAGAGGGTGCCAGCGCCTGACCCGGGGCTGAGCCTGGTACATCCGAGTCACTTCCGCACGCCTTACACAGTTGCTTTGCTCGTTTCACCCTCTGCTTGTTCAGCGGCAGTTTGTGTGCCACATCTATAGCAAAGTGGTACTAAACACGGTTCAAAACGCTGCCAAAGACAGAAAAGAGCAGACGGCTGCGCTGAGTTGAGGCTGATGTAGTGAGTC